TGCTAAATGGCCATCAGTTCTGGTTAGAATGGTAATGAGGCAATTCCCCTTCAAGATAGACACATCAAAGGCAAGGGGCGCTTCCTCTCTTCACACAGCCTTCACAGGGCTTCATGGTATCATTATATGGTTCAATATGAGCTTGAATCCTTGATTTTGTGTGTTAAAAAGGCACAAATGGAAAGAAAAGGGAAGGGTAGACAACATAATGTTTACATTAGTTCTGTCCTTTTGGGACTGTGCCAGCACCCAGCCATGCTGTGACACACATCACATAGACAACCTGGTACTATTCATAATTACCCTCTATTCACAGAGGCCTCATTTAGAATGCTATTATCAGAGATCATTGTTATTTCCCTCAATGTATGCTTGGAATCCCGGTGAGACCAACACATCTAATGCAGATAACAGTACTATTTTGGGTGACCCCATTGCGTACACAATAATAAGAGTGAACAGCTGAAATCCCATGAATTCCCATCAGTGATTTCTAAGGATGCAATTGAGCCTTGAGGTATATGAATCATTTTTTTTTCTCAACAACAAACACCAGGAATATAAAAAAAGTAATTAAAATAAAAAATCCCAAGGCTTTATTATTACTGACCCTCATTATTTTTACAGTGCTCTAGTAGATAACAAGCAAAATCATACATTGTTCTCTATGTTTTACTGAAATATATAATGATGTGATTGAAGAAATATGACTGCTGTCAAACCTACCTTGCCAGGTATCCTAATGTGTTAAAAAAAACAAACAAAAAAACCCATTAGGTAGGTTTAAATGCGAGAAAATTAAGCCCATTTAAAATAAAATCAACTCCTATCATGTGTGTATTACCAGGCAGGCCATCACCAGGGCCAGGTTGATAATGGAGGTAATGGAGAACCGACAGCATTTTTCAGGCAGTCAGTTTCAATAACACATGTGTATTGGGGTCATGGGCGTAGAATTCAATGTTCTCCTGCATCATGAAGAGGTATTTTATTTTGTTGCAGTTTTAGTTAAATATTTATGAGGTGAGTAAATCTTCATCAGTGTAGACAGAGCATCTGCAAAGAATAGCATGAGACCAGCTAAAATTATTACCTTAATTTTGAGTAAGATTTGCATAAATTCTGTCACACAAATAACTGATATACGTTGCATCTGTGAGCTGCAACTCATCCAATGTAACATTTTTCCGAGCAAGATTCAGAGTGAGTTTTACTCAAAAAACATCTTTCTAGTCAGATCTGTACATATTGCAATGATTTTGATGTTATATTTATGGCACTAATGTAAGCACACGGCGGAACAAGTGTCAGTTTATATGTTCATATGTGTTTAAATTCCGCACAAGTTTGCTCAAAACGTTGTCTGGCTCACCTTCCTCTCTGAATCTGTTCTTTCTTGTGACCTCTTTACTTTCACAATTTAAAGTGTATGTAAATGAATCCCTCATAACTCCCCACTATAAAGACAGTAGTTGGATCCGTTTTTAGATGGTGAAGCCAAAACTATAGTGCACTGCATTTACTGTAAAGAGAGAGGAAAGCCCATGGTCCCAGCAATAGTGCATTTGTGAGAGGCTTTAACACATTTTAAATTGAAATTCTGAAAAAGCCCAATGCACATTGCACATTACACATTAAACACGTTACATAATGGAATAAATGTTCTGTCCAGGTGTCACCTCTCTGGCTACCTTTTAATGGCAGGCAGCAGCAGACAAATCATCAAACGAGGCAGAGGTAATGATCAAGTTTAATGTTGCCTACACTATTCCAAAATAATAAATTTCCATTCTCTTTGTTCATGTCTGAAATAATTCTTCATAAGAAAAATGGCTTGAATGTAGTAAAATGTTTCAAGATGTTAATAAATTGTTTGATCCTTAAAATAATTTTACTTACAATTTAGATTTCCATTAATGGAATTAAGTAAGTTGAAAAATCATGCCCAAACCAACATGTCTACATTTAAAAAGAATGGAAAAAAGGGTCTAGGCACAAAGGTAACCAGAGTAAAAGCTTTGTCCAGTGTTCACTTCCTGGCAGGAGGCCCACCTCCACAGCTATGAGAAAATAAGCACAGTTCAGGTGTGAGGCCAGCATGATGGATCATCCTGCTGTGAAACTGGCCCTCTTTAGAGCCCAGAGAAGACAGCTGGGAGATAAGGAGAACCCTATATGAGAGCACATCTCCTCTTCCCATCGATCCTCACTGCCACCAAGGCAGGAGGTCTTCACATGCCATGCCACAGATAGAGGTAGAGAGACTGGGCAGGGCAACAGAGACAACAATTTTGTCTGGTTTGTAGGCACCTTTAAGTGGAAAAGACACTGAAAAGGTAAACCTGTTTTGGCCTTGTGCTGATAAAATAAAGAAGGTACAGGTCCTTTATAAAGAAACATAACATCTTAACTCTTACTCTGTTTCTAATTAACATAATTTGACATTACTATAAATGATTTTAGAGAGCAGTAAAATAAAAAAATATATTATTCTGCAATCTACTTTGCTGATTAATGCTGAAAGAAGTACGAGCGTCAGCATTTATGAGTTAACCTTGAGTTTTGTGTTATACATGTAGCAGGAAAGGCATTACCCGAAGTCAGTTAAAAGTGAAAAGACGCTTGCTCTGGAAAAAAAAAAGAAGGTCTGTAGCTACAATTAGAATTCCTCAGGCATTAATAAGCACAGCTGCAGGTATCAATCAAGTGAAAATATTTCCTTGCAAAGTATGACATTAATTGAAACAAAGGATCTCACATTCCAGTGTTGAATTCAGCTTGATATTTTGAAACAGAGCAATCAGCAAAACCCCAACACCTATTATTAGTTGAAGAAGAAACTGGATCAATCGACAACACAGATTTGAGAAACTGTAAAAAGGTGATATTCCACAATGTGACGGTAATGAGAATATAATAGAAAAGAAAATTGCCTTGTTTTGTTTCTCTGAACATGGCAAATCAATACTGAGATCCGACTGCAGCAGAGACAGACACCAATCAGGAAAACAGCGTACCCTGTTTTGGAGGGCCTACCTTGGTAATGGAGATGTATGTTTGTGACCTTCGCTCTCAATCACAGAAATTCTTAAAGTAGTCGTATGCTGAGGGTCTCTTCTTGTGAGTGACAGATTTTGAAACCACACTGCAAGCAAGCACCCTTAACCATCTATCAGACAAGATAAGGCCCTCTCCAAGGAGCATGATGAGCTGTGAGAAGCATCATGTCTCTGACAGCATGTGCACTGAGCATTAAACTATGCTGAGGCTTTGAAGTTCTTCTATGCTCAGCCTTTGTCTGTAATAATTCATATTTGCCAGGTGTTAAGCCTTAATAAACACAAACAAATAAATTATGAATTGCCATGAAAGTAACAGTATTTATTTTCAGCTTATTTTCTTTTGCACTGAATATGTTTCTTAAAGTTCTTTTTCTAAAGACTGTCAAATGTGGAAAGAGATGGGATGTGGCAGTGGCTTAGGAGTAAAGCGCAACCCATGTATGGAGACCTTAATTCTTGATACGGCTGCCACTGGTTCGAATTCTGGTCCAATGACCTTTGCCACATGTCTTTCTGATCTCTCACAATTCACTTTCCTATCTGACAATAATATAGCATTGAAGAACAAAGCTCTAAAATTTACCAGTCAAATGCTAACTCTGTAGTCTGCTGATGTTAGAATGATATTTGCTGCAATCTATCAAAGAACATGGCTGATTAGCCCCAGTGCTCTGCACTGTCATTAGGCTTCTTAGCGAGGTAGCCAGCTAAAAGCTAGCCACAGTGAACACCAGGTTGTTCTGGGGATGAAGAACCACAGCAATTCATGAATAGCTGAAATCCATGAACATGAGAATTCCCAATAAAAATCTAAATATTTAAGTCGCATATACACCCAAGATGCACTTTATTGTACACACTTAAAACCATTTTAGCACTACAAAGTTAAAATCTACAGTCTTCCTTATTTCCATTTGAGAATACAGCAAATTAGCATCAAAGAAAATTAATGGCACTGCACTTAGGTATTTCAGCTTTCCAAGCTGCATTGTCTTTCAAATAATATGCTGAAAAAAAAAAAAAAAAAAAATCAGTGGGAGTTTTCCGTAAATAATCAGGATTACATTCCACTGGAAAAACAAACAAACAAAAAAATGTTCAATAGAAGATTTGTAAATACTTAATCTCGTATAGGTGAGGGTTCATTGTAGCTTGATAGTTTGATACATCCAAATTGAACAATTTACTAATAAACTCTTAGCTCTTAGCTAAATATTTATAAATCCAATATGACCCATAAAAAAAGAACATAAAAGAACACAGTGAACCTAAAGTTTATAAAGAATTTCCACAAATATATTTTAACATAGAAATTGAAAAGGCTATTTAGTTCAAAAAAGCTCTTTCGTACAGCTCTAGACAGAAGACATATAACACACGTCAGAGAATGCACTAGGATACACAAAACTGAAGCAGAACACTTTATTCCCACATATGATCAAAAATTTCATGTGGGAATAAAAATTTAAATTCCATTTTAACCTAGAGCATTTTATCCAGATCTGTTGTCAAAGTGGTGAAGAATTATCTCAATCATGTCAAAGAAAATGTCTAACACCATGAAAAGAAGAAGAAAAAAATAGAGGAAGAGTGGGCAGGAACCCCCTCCCTACCTCCCCATTATTCTCACACCACAGTTGGCTGCCTTGGGTTTGCTTCCTTGCTTTGATGATAATGCTCTTTGGCAGGCTGCTAAAGTAATGACTACCTCTCAGTGGCAGAGAGCAAGCTTACTCTGTAATATTTTGATTTAACAGAACATTTAGTTAGATTTAAAATAGGCAAAAATAAATAAATAATTAATTAATAATAGTAATAAAAAATACAAATTTGTGAAGTTCTCTAAATGAGTCATATGACATTTTAGGCTGGTCTATTCACATACAGAAGGAATTATGCACGAACATTAAATATATTTAAAATGTTAATATTACTCACCTCCGCCTCCTCCCAGAAGACTGGTGTTTGCTGTAATGAGAGGAGAAAAAAAGAAGTCAATAGGCATATGAACAAGTGTCCAAATATCAATTAGACTCGTTCAGCATAATTTGTATAACATCAGAGCAATGTTTCAAATGCATAAACTGTCAATTTATTATTATTTTTTTTTTTACGATATATTTTATTTAACCTAATAGCAAAGATTGTCAGATTATACTTTCCCAGTTGTAAAAGGAAAACTAAAAAGAAAAAAATCAATGATTACTCTTAGATGGAAATGGTGAAAATCATTTAAAAAACGACAAAAATAGTTGGTTTTTCAGTTAAATCTACAATCAATCAAACATTTCACAAGCTGTGCCAAAGACAACAAGTGTTTGTATTTTGATGCTTGCTACCTTCCAACAATTGTTACATGAGCCAATAGTTTGTCACATCTCAAATGTACAAAACGTGTTATTGTGTGTGAAAGTGGTTTAGTTGAATAACTACTTCAGCCATTTGGCAGCTAATGTGTCATTCTTTGACAGTGAATTATGATTGAGGTTTTTCTTTTCCTACTACATTAATTGTGCTCAGCACAAAAATGTCTATATGACTTAAAATAGTAGTTGCATGTTATTTGCTGAAAGGTTTATGTGCTGATATGAACATTTTGTATGAGGAGCATAAAACATGCTTCAGTGAAAAGGCAAATGATTGTGGCATTTATTAATAAGTCTCAGTTCTTTGATCTGATACATCTGCAAAGCAAAGCAAATACAAGAAAGTTCAGCTCACAAACACTTATCGTCCGTTGGCAGACATTAATGAATGACACGTAACATACCATTTCTGCACGAAAACCCAAGTAGAGCATCATTAAAACTTAACCCTTTTTTTCTGTTCGTTTGAGTAAACCGTTTTCACATACAACAAGAAAGATTAAAAGACTTTTAAGGTACATCTGTTATTTTATTAAATTCAAAGTAGGTAGCAGTGACGCTTGGAGTGTAGTTCATACATCAGAGATTAAAAGAATAGTTTTTCACAACTTCCGATTAATTATCTTCAAATAGAGCTGCAACATCAGCCCTGTTCAAAAGCTTATTTAGTCAAAAATGTTTTTTTTTTTTTTTTTGGCCCAGAAACAGATAATAACCATGAGCCATTACCAAAGAAGTACTTATTTATTAGTGTTTTTAAAGCCTAATTTACATAAAGGAAGTGACATCTGGAGTTCAATCTGCTTCTGTTGGATTCTGTGGAAGCATTATTCTCATTTCAGACCCACAAATATGAGTGGGCTTGACAAAGAAAACCTTCCTACAGCAGGTTTTTTACTCATCAAAGGGCTTTTGTTGCGCATCTGTGTGGTCTTTGTGCATACATACAGTATCACAACTCACACACACAAAAAGCAACAACTCAAACAGGGATGTACTGACAATTCACTGTCATGTTTACAATAGCACCTCTCCAGGTTTTTCTGTGGTAAAAAAGACACTCATGCTCTCGCAGCCTTTGTTTAGCTCTGGAATCTGTCAGCCATCAACAAAGAGCACATAACTCAAATGTGCATGCTGCTCCTGAACAACTCTGTTTAAATGAGAGTGGCAAATTTCCTGGAAAAATCTGACTCTTTTCTTTTTATTCAGGAGATATATCTAGCTTTAACAAGAATTGTTAGGAAAAAATAAATAAATAAACACATTTTCCTTTAATATAATTATAATTGAGCCAACCTTTTGTGTTCTAGCAAGATAGCATGATGACCTGATAACTGCCACCTCCTTTTTCATGCGAAGAGAGAAAAAAAACACTGTAGTTGTAAAAGGTGGAGGAGGATACCACATTATTTCTATTGCAAATAGTTTGCTGTAAAGTAACAGTAAAAGATAGAATTTTTCATGTTACATTGTTCTGCACCGATATAAAACTGAATTATATTAAATTTCTGCTTCGGCATTGCCCTAAACATCAAACTTTATGGCACATTTGTATTTTTAGTAAAATCCAACACTTTCAAAGTCAGCTCAAACCCAAGCCAGCGGCATACTGTTTTTCAACATCATCTATCATCATTGTCTGGTCTCTTGGGGAGCCTTCCTTATTCCTGAGCTATTAAAACACTGGGGTTTAATTACCTGACATTATGGAAATGCATGCCAGAGGGGGGCACTTCATTTACTCCACACCTAATCAGAGATCTGAGATGTGGTTGCTAATCAGACACAACTCTTCTGCATGTATATGTATGCAAGGCGGCATGGTGATAGCAGGGTAAAGGGTGAGCTTGGGGTTGAGATATAAGAGGATTTCTGTCTACATATGATTGGGTATGTTTTTGTCAATAGGAGACACACTTACTTCATTGTTGTGGCTTTTTAATAAGAATGAAAACAGAAACAAAATAACTAAAAGTGTGCACTTTTCGCTGTATCCTCACCTTCAATGATCAAAACAAAACAAGTAGTTTTGTCTATAAGACAACCAGTCTTATAGAACAAAACAATGCTACCAACCCACAGAATCTGTGCACTCAACCCACATACAGTGAAAATGTCTCTATTCTTCTATTAAGACACCAAGTTTGTGAAACACATAAAAGGCCAAAATAACACATTCTAGAACTTTATTTGCCCTATAACCTGTACAACTCAATAATAAAATAAATAGAATTTTTAAGGAAAAAAAAAACAAAAAAAAATTCAAGCCTCAAACTAAACCTATGCTGAGGCATTTCTTTAATGGAATGGAATTATAGTCCAAAAATGCTTTAAAGAAATATCAAAAAGTGTTTAAGGCAAATTATCTTGCCAATCTATTGTCTACTAGCCAATATAAATGAATATATGGGAGATAGTTGTATTTGTCTTCATAACTCTTCCTTAGAGCTTTTTCATCGATTTTGGATCAAAGTCCAGTTTGTGGTCATGTCAGTGTCATGCCATATTTACTCGACTTGATAGAGCCTTTCTGCACCTTCTATGGTGTCTCGTTCTTTCCTCCCTTCTTCCGACTTACATCTTTCAACAGTGAGAAACCTTTTATGTTTTGAAAGGATCATGCAGACCATAGCTTCTGTAATGAAATGCAACTGAGAAAATATCAGGTTAAAGAAACTATTCCAATGCCCATAATTAATCAGTATTTACTGACTCCGATAAAATGTTCTTTTGAATGTGGTGGTTAGTTCTGAAAGCCAAATCTCCAGTAATTAGTACACATTTCTACAACCATATCATTATGACAAATACTATTTATCTTATTTTAAAAGATTTGCAGTTTTCTTTTTAATTGGGGATTAGATCATATTAAAGAGGGATGTGTTGACTTTTACTTCCTCAACAGACACACCATCACAGAAGACATAAAAATCTGAAATCGAATGCAGATTTGCTTCTCCTCAAGAATGAAACAATACCTGGTTGTTTTCCTTGATGCAAATCCAAACAAAAAAGAATCCATATTTGGCCACATCTTTCTCACAATCAATATTTTATACTGTGTGTATTAATTATAAAGCAGCTTTCCATGCTGTTTTGCTCGCCTTGGGCTCAGACTGAGCATCTTGTGTGGGATCAACACATTTATGCCTTTAGGAAAGCAATGGGAGAGTGAACAATTAGTATTACCAGAAGGCCATTATCTATTTCTTCTAGTGGCTGAGTGTCCACATGTGGAGCTATCTCTTGGAATGAATGGTTAATGGACTTTTGAGTTTACCACCCTCTTTTAGGGTCTGCCCCCAAGACAGATTTAAACTTTTTTTTTAAACACAGGCCAAACCACATCTTCTACTCAACTAAAACTAAATATAACCCATCACATTAAACAAAATAAAGCAGTACTCAGGACTTCTGAACTTAAATATTTCTTTAGCAAGAGAGCTAAGCCTTGAAGCATTGCAATGACCCAGTTAATGAGAGTAAAGTCTGAAGCCAACTTGTAACTGTGTGTTGTGGCATCATCCCTGTGGTAACCACAGCACGGGTCATAAATCCCAGTGGAAATGCTCCCCAGATTGCCTGGGGACAGTAAGGACTTGTTGGTCCATCAAACTCATGCCAGCACAGTCACTGTGAGGACAAGAAGTTCCTGTCTTCCCTTTAAACACTAAACATTTGGGAGAGAAACTAGATACTGCTGTTGTAACTCTTCAAATCAAGCAAAATAACAGAATGTTAATCCATGACTGTGACAGGGGTGTTTCTTTTTATTGTGGCCATATGGAGAATATGCTGAAGTCTGATTTAAATCTCTAAATCATCTTACTATGTCATGATATCTTCAAATCAGTCAAACAAAGGGCTTACATGCCTCAATTGTGTTAGCACAGAGAGCACATAGGATTTGATCACTGCTGCATGTTTGGTGTTGTCAGCTCATCCTTAGATCATGCTTGTTAAATGGAAAGCTCTAGTGCATAACCACAAAAACCTCAAGGCAGTAAACAGATCCACTGTCTACCTTCTGGTCTGTGCCACTTAACTGAACCTTCACAGTATGCTTTGTCAAATGCACATGCCTTATCCTCAGCGTGCTTCTCAGTCAGCTCAGAGTATATTCTGCTGTGACTCTGGGATAAAAAGGAAAGGAAGAGAAACTAATACAAGATTCTGGTGCAGATTTCCTGGTCTGCTTCTAAAATCTGGGTACAATATTTTTTTAAAGGAACCAGAAGTCCCACTATGGTATATTGCTTGCAGCCTTCTGACGTCTGTCCAAGTTTAATGCATTTCATCTTAACTTGCACTATAGAAAACATTTCATTAAAAAAAGAAAATAACAAGCCTAAACCAATCTGATCTGCATCAACAGACAAAGAAACAACTTGTGCAATTGCATGTGTATTAGAGATGTAGAATTAGCAAGTTTCTTAATCTCGACCAAGCTGAGCTGAAACCCTCTTGAGCAGATAACGGGCACTCCACCAATTTTAGGCTAAAAGGTGTTTACCATTTGATTATTTTACCTGCTTATTTTGCAGTTCAGAAACAAAATTCAGCACAAAAAAACCAGTCACAACTCTATGATCCTTGAAT